CTGTTGTGAAGATGATATATACCTGCCAACCCCTTCTTGTACCTCAGCCACAAATGGTGACAATGTTCAATACTTTTATCTGTCATAACTTGCGAAACAAGTCAGCGATCCTTTACAACTTGCTATATCTAAATATTTCTCTCAGCCAGAAGCCTAGGATGGATACGGATTTTATTCTTTCGCATAAATCTGGATATAAATGTTCGATACTCTTGTAATTTTGCTCTACCATCAACATTTCAAAAAGTATGCATATATCTCAAATCCAGCAAAGTGGGGATCCCAAATATATTGGAACCCGCCTTCTCGTACCTCTTCCCCCTTATTAAATATGATTTTCTCCCAACTTCGCACATTCCAATATGTTTACCAACACTAGCTAGCACAAGATAGACCTTCCATTATCTCCACCAATTTTGGTAGTCGTAACTACCTACAAATTAGCCTGCTAGTATATCATTTTTTAATATAACCCGAAATTTGGCCACTAAAGTGGACAAATAAATGAAGGAAAAACTCACAACCGTCGACTCTTCAGTTAGTCTAATTCAGACTTCGTTCACACCTTCTAATTCAGACTACCTTCAACTCGTGTAATGTATACTCTCTTCAGTTCCTTTAATCCAGACTCCCTTTGTAAGGTTTTAGAAAATTTCAAGCTACTAGTAGTAACGCAAAAGGAGTTTTTTACATTACCTTTTAGTCGCATGTTCCGTCTATATGGATGGCTCCCATGATTTTTTCTGGGATGTGTCATGTCCAAATGCATTTCGTCTGTCATATGTTTTCTTGTCATCCAATCCATGAATCATGGCGAGGAAATATCTTAAGTGGCAACCAAAAAAATAAACATCATATTTCTGGAATTCTGGAAATAAAAGATAGTGTAGATTACGCAACCTTTTACTGATATGGCAAATTCAAAGCAATAAATATATTTTTTATAAATATCATAAACAAATCAAATTTCAAATCAGATTAAGATTTTTTTTTTCGATTTAGATTCATTTTCTGTAGCTACTAAATTCGACCAAACCACTTTTTTATCGACAAGCCAGCCAACCAACCAGCCTACTTCGTTGCATTCGACTCATCTGCAGTTGTTTTTCTAACGCCGCCCTCTTTAACTCTCTTCTGATAAACGACAGACTAAATAAAGACGGGGCTTGTAAAACGACAACTACTGTTTGACAAGCTGCCGGCTGGTTCCTGATCTTTCCAACAAACAAATACATTGCAACTTTTTATTGCTTCTTATCAATTGATAAGAAAAAAAAATACCTCTTGCTAAGCATTAGCAAATATATCTCAAACCCGGTTTCCTTTTTTTATTTTGAGTCTCTTGCTTTAAATTAAAAATTTAATGAATGCTGATGGCTGGAGTTAACGGAAAAACGAACATCTCCAAGGATGATGTTGTTGTGTGCAGCGTCAGAGACACTTAAATGATGTCCTGTCTTCAAGGCTTTTAAACTAGATCAGTTGCAATTATGTGGCTTAATCGACATCTTCGAGTATCGCACTGAGTATGCCGACCGGTATGAGGCTTACCAATCTGTTTGAACGGTTTTTTTCATAGATTTATTAATTAATGTGAAAATTGTTGCTGTGACACGAGAATAACGACAAGATATATTAAATGTAATTTATATTCCCCTATGGGCGTCAAGAACAAAAATTGAAAAAATTACAAACAATGATAAAAGCAGTCAGTAGGCCGGGCCGAACTTTATTGAAAATTTTCAAAAAAAAAAAAAAAAAAAAAAAAAAACATTTACAAATTCTGCTAAAATCTTAAAAATACCGTATAGCCGTTATACTAGGGTCTATACGAAGACGTGGACCTGCACAGACAACATTTGTCATAAGCCATTACAATATTCAAATACGAAACTTGAAAAAAAAAACAAGTAAAAAAGAATACCCTCCACCATTTGGAACGAATTAGAAAATTTTCAAAAAAAATTAAATCCAATAAAAATTCTTTTAAATTCTTTAAAATATCTAATATAGGAAGGTGCCGATATATGGGGGGATATACGATATTGTGGACCTATAAACACAAATCTATGTCTGCGTGTAAAGTACTCACAAGGAACTCCTTGTATGGATTTTCAGATAATTCCATTGGAAAAAGTGGCTAAAATCATCAAAATACCGGATATAGGGGAGTACCATTATATGGGGGCTATACGATATTGTGGACCTATATAGATAATTCTCTGCCGAGGTATAAAGTACCCACAAGGAACTCCTTGTGTGGATTTTCAGACAATTACGTTGAAAAATGTGGGTAAAATCGTCAAAATACCGAAAATCGGGGGTACCGTTATATGGGGGATGTACGATATCGTGGACCTGTGTAGACAATTCTCTCTCAGGGGGTAAATTACTCGCAAGGAACTACTTGTGTGGATTTTAAGACAATTCCATTGAAAAATGTGGCTAAAATCATCAAAATGCCGAATACCGGGGGGTACCGTTATATGTGGGCTATACGATATTGTGGACCTATATAGATAATTCTCTGCCGAGGTATAAAGTACCCACAAGGAACTACTTGTGTGGATTTTCAGACAATTCCATTGAAAAATGTGGCTAACATTATCAAAATACCGATGATATCGATATCGTGGACCGATATAGCCCATCTTCGAACTTGACCTGCCTGCAGACAAAAGAGTGATCTGTGCAAAATTTTAGCTTCCTATCTTAATTCGTTTAGACTGTAGCGTGATTACAACAGACGGACAGACGGACGGACAGGGCTAAATCGTCTTAGAATTTTACGCTGATCAAGAATATATATACTTTGTTGGGTCTAAAATGATTATTTCGATGAGTTACAAACGGAATGACGAACTTAATATACCCTCCATACCTTTTTTGGTGGAGGGTATAAAAAAACGGTGAATAATGTGGCGAAAATTATGAAAATGCCGAATATAGGGAGGTACCGTTATATCGGGGCTCTACGAAGACGTGGGCCTGCATACGCATTTTTTTTTTTTTGTCACAGGCTATAGTACCTATTAGGAACTTTAAACGCGAAATTTCAAACAATTTCGGTGAATATTATATAACAAACTCTTAGTACTTTGATCAAGAAGCTTGCATCAAAACCCAATACCATAAGACATATAAATATGTCCGTATAATGGCTAAGAAATGATAAACGTTCCACTTTTTTCTGTCACAGGCTGTAATGCCCATTACGAACTCTAAATACGAAATTTGAAACAATGTCGATGTCGCTAAAATCCTCAAAATATCGAAAATCGAGGGATACCTTTGAATGTGGGCTATGAAAAAACGTCAACCAACTTCAGAATGCTGTCATCTTCAAGCCACTCCTCTGACAGCCTTTAAAATTATTCCAGTGACAGCTCATTATATTGTTTACAAGCATACAAAAGCATTTGTGTGAGAATTTTCCAGAAAAAAAAAAGTTATTCGTGATTTCCTTATATTTGGCTGGAAAACCACAAGTGGCTATCGTTAGAGCACTCCAGCATTTCAATGTGAATAAATCGATTGTGTCTCGTACCATCGCTCGTTACCGTGATGCTGGTAGCGTAGCCCGACGTCAAGGTAGTGTACGGAAGAAAACAGCAACATCAGCAGAAATGATTCGAAAAGTAAAGAAGCGACTTGATCGAAACCCGCGTCACAGTGTCCGAAAAATGGCTTGTGAATTGAACATATCGCAATATTCCATTCGACAAATATTGAAAAATTAGCTCGGGTTAAAGCCATTGAAATTTCAAAAAGTGCAAGAACTTACACCGCAACAGAAAGAAAATAGACTCAAAAGAGCTAAAGAATTGCTTCGCTTGTCCGCCAGTGATGAACTGCCGAATTTGGTTTTCTCCGTTGAAAAAACATTCATTGTCCAACAGTTTGTAAACAAACAAAATGATTGTGTTTACTTCCCAAAGAGGTCAGCTGAAAATGTGCACCTTCGGTTGACCACCAGAATTCAAGCGCCGGCCATGATGATTGTGTGAGCCGCCATAACACCTCTATTTATCGACTGTGGCATCAGAATAAATGGCGAATATAATCGCGAAAATATTCTGGAGGGTGTATTAAAGCTTTGGGTACGCAAAGCACGCTCCACCCAAGAATGTTTACAGAATTAGGTTCATCGCTTCATTTCCAGTGCACAATGGCCACCAAGAGAGAATTCCATTGAATAAATGTAGCTAAAATCATGAACCTACCGAATATCGGGAGGTACCGTTATATGGGTGATATACACTCAGAAGGAACTCCTTTTGTGGACTTTCAGACATTTTCATTAAAAATTTGGCTAAAATCATCAAAATACCGAATATCGGAGATACCATCGTATCGGGGCTGTACGATATCATAGACCTATGTAAACAGTTCTCTTCCAGAGGGCAAAGTACTCAGAAAGAACTCTTTGTGTTGATATTCAGACAATTTCATTGAAAAAAGTGGCTACAGTAATCCAAATACCGAATATCGGGGGGTACCGTTGTATGGGGGCTATACGATATCGCGGACCTATATAAACAATTTTCTTCCAGGGGGTAAAGTACTCAGAAAAAACTCCTTGTGTGGATTTTCAGACAATTCCATTGGAAAATGTTGCTAAAATCATCAAAATACCGAATAACGGGGGGTACCGTTGTATCGGGGCTATGCGATATCGTGGATCTATATAAACAATTCTCTTCCATAGGGCGAATTCCTTGTGTGGATCTTCGGAAAATGCCATTGAAAAATTTGGCTGCAACAATCCAAATACCGAATATCGGGGGGTACCGCTGTATGGGGATATACGATATTGTGGACCTATATAGAGAATTCTCTTTTCGGGGCCAAAGTACTCAGAAGGAAATTCTTTCCCATTACCAAAAAAAAAAAAAAATAAATGAATAAAAAAGTATTATACATTTATCTAATCTTACCTTAACTAATACTGTTCTCAACTAATCTCACGCATTTTTTCACTCATTCTTCTCTTTCCCCAGGGTCGACATACAAAAACTGGTCAATTGGCTGCCATAAAAGTGATGGATGTCACCGAAGATGAAGAAGAAGAAATCAAATTAGAAATAAACGTCTTAAAGAAATACTCAAATCATCGGAACATAGCTACATATTATGGTGCTTTCATCAAGAAATCGCCGCCGGGCAAAGATGACCAACTGTGGCTGGTCATGGAATACTGTGGTGCTGGTTCAGTTACCGATCTAGTTAAGTCAACAAAAGGACAAAGTCTCAAAGAAGAATGGATTGCATACATATGTCGCGAGATTCTGCGCGGTCTGGCCTATCTGCACTCGAACAAGGTTATACATCGTGATATCAAGGGTCAGAATGTCCTGCTCACCGATAATGCCGAAGTGAAACTGGTCGATTTCGGTGTGTCGGCACAGTTGGATCGTACAATAGGCCGGAGGAACACATTCATTGGTACACCCTATTGGATGGCGCCCGAGGTAATAGCGTGCGATGAAAATCCCGAGGCCACCTATGACAATCGTTCCGATTTGTGGTCACTGGGTATAACGGCACTGGAAATGGCCGAATCACAGCCGCCACTGTGTGATCTACATCCAATGCGTGCTCTCTTCTTGATACCACGTAACTCTCCGCCACGCTTGAAATCGAATCGAAAGTGGTCCAAGAAATTTCAAAGTTTTATAGATACAGTGTTAGGTAAGTGGGCGGTGAATCAATCCCCATCCACAAATTAAAAATAACATATTTTTCTTCTTCTTTTCCCGCAGTGAAAGATTATCATCAGCGGCCTTATACCGAACAATTGCTTAAGCATGCTTTTATCAAGGATCAACCGACAGATCGTCAAGTGCGCATACAACTGAAGGACCACATCGATCGCTGTAAAAAACGCAAACAAGAAAAGGAACGCGAAGACTACCGCTACTCGGGCTCGGACAATGACGATGATGATACACAGATTGCTGGTGAACCAAGTTCAATTATCCAAGCACCGGGTGATACATTGCGTCGCAATTTCCAACAGATTCAGGAGGGTCGAATTGCTGCCGAACAACAGCAGCAGCAGCAACAAATGGCCGCAGTGGCAGCAGCTCAAGCGGCAGCTGCCCAGGCACAAGCTGCACAACAGCAGCAACAACAACAGCAACAGGCACAAGCTCAACAGCCGCAGGCGAATCGGAATCAGAAACCACCATCGGTAAGAAAAGTGGAAAGAGAACAGATGTGATTGGGAGAGAATTGAATGGAAGAGGAGCGGCACATTTTGAATTTCTACAAAAACAGTCTTCCTCAAAGGGTCTACAGAGACTCTCTTCAAAACTTTTACTAGAATTAGAAAACAACATGGACGCAGTGAAAAGCAAACGATTGTTAATGTTCCTATCGATGGGCGACCTTTGTATGCCATCATTACATATTTCCGATCATTTAACTTTTTGCTCCTAAGAGATATAAATAGACAATACGACAAAAAAGTTTTTTCATGAACTTGTTCATGAATACTCCTCCTGCCTCTAAAAAAGAGCATTTTGGCTGTCTATCCATGTTATGCGTATAAAGAATTTCTTTCGACCGACTATAAGGTTGACTCATCTTTAAAGTCCACACCTTATTCGTCCTCTTCTATAAAGATCTTTCGTCTATAATTTGCTCGTCTTTACGTATTTACTTCGATTCCTCTATACAGTCTCTATGCTGCACCTCAGAACAGACGTACTTCGACTCGTCTGTACAGGTCCTCTTCTGCTTGTCTTTAAAAATGTCTTCCTGCTGCCAACACTTTAGTCTCTACAGACTCCTTTCAGCTCGTCTCCTCAGACTACCTTCAGCTCGTCTAGTCCGACTGCCTTCAGCTCATCTCATCCGGTTGCCTTCAACTCGTCTAGTCCAACTCGCCTATTTAGACTGACTTCAGCTATTCTAGTCCGACTGCCTTTACCTCGTTTATTTAGATTGTCTTCAGATCGTCTAATTAGAACTCGTCTTTAAAGACTCCCTCCAACTCGTCTTTAAAGACTCCCTCCAACTCGTCTTTAAAGACTCCCTCCAAATCGTCTTTAAAGACTCCCTCCAAATCGTCTTTAAAGACTCCCTCCAAATCGTCTTTAAAGACTCACTCCAACTCGTCTCTAAAGACTCCCTCCAACTCGTCTATAGAGACTCCCTCCAACTCGTCTATAGAGACTCCCTCCAACTCGTCTATAGAGACTCCCTTCAACTCGTCTATAGAGACTCCCTCCAACTCGTCTATAGAGACTCCCTCCAACTCGTCTATAGAGACTCCCTCCAACTCGTCTATAGAGACTCCCTCCAACTCGTCTATAAAGACTCCCTCCAACTCGTCTATAAAGACTCCCTCCAACTCGTCTATAAAGACTCCCTCCAACTCGTCTAAAGAGACTCCCTCTAACTCGTCTATAGTCTCTCTGTTATTTGTCCTTCAACCCTTATCCAACTCGGCTATAAATATTCCCTCCTCCAACTCGTCTACAAAGTCTTTCTTCAGCTCGTTTATACAGACTTCCTTCCACTCGTCTTTAAAGACTCCCTCGAACTCGTCTATAGGGACTCCCCCAACTCGTCTATAGGGACTCCCCCAACTCGTCTATAGGGACTCCCCCAACTCGTCTATAGTCTCTTTGTTATTTGTCCCTTATTCAACTCGGCTATAAATATTTCCTCCTCAAACTCATCTACAAAGGCTTTCTTCAGCTCGTCTTTCAGATCATCTATTCAGACGCCTCTCATGTCGTCTATTCAGACGCCTTTCAGGTCGTCTATTCAGATGCATTTCATGTCGTCTATTCGGACGCCCTTTAGCTGGTTTATTCAGACGCCATTCAGCCCGAGAATAAAATTTCTTCACCTCGTCTGTAAGACAAAAGTCTTTTATGTCGTCTACGAACAATCCTTTCTGGTTAGCTATGAAGACTCCTTTCATCTTGTGTATTAAGACTCCCTTCTGCTTGTCTATTAAGACCTTTTTCAGATCATGTTTAGCCCATCTATGAAGACTCCTCCTCTCTACATGGAATTGTCCATAAAGAATATCTTTTATCCTTTGATAAAAATGCTCCTTTTTATATAAATCGCATTTTTTGTGTTTAAAAAAGATTTCCCTTTCTGGCGTACTTTGATACTAAATAAATAATTGATTTATTACAGCGTGATCAGCGTCAACAAATCGAGGAACCCGGACCACCATCACGTCCAGCATTACCTCAACGTCTCATTGTTGTACCAGATCCTCCACATGCCAATCGACCATTGCCACCAACACCGAAAAGTTCAGAGTCCTCGTCCGCCGCACAAACTCCACAGCAACAGCAGCGTAATTCACAAAATAATTTCAAGCCATCGGTAAGTTTTGAATGAAGATAATTTATGCCAACATTATCGTATATGCTACATATTTCATAAGATCGAATTTTGTAAAGAAACCCCATCTTCCCCTCTGGCTTCACATAAAGAGAAATCAGTGTAAATTAAAGCATCAGTCCCTGCATCTGTGTTAAGAACCAACCCCCCCCCCCCTGCAGTCTCTAACCACTCTTCAAGCATAACGTTTTTGTGTATTGTATATGTATATACCTAAATACTATTTGTAAATATTAAACAGTCATTTACCCTTGTCCCCTGAAAATAATCAAAGGCCTAAAAAGTAATTTGTTTTGATTTTTGGGTGTTCCCCAGATTTTTTTTATTTTGTGTATATCCTTCTTAAAGTTTTATTTTATTCTTCTTTTGTTTATTTTCATGTTTATTATTGGTGTCCGGCATCTGTATTTCTACCCTCCCTGAATATCCAACAAAACACACAACACATAAACACCCAAACTATGCACAACAAAACCACACACCTAAATTCCCAATTACAAAACTTATGTGTTTGTGTGGGGTCTCTATCTGTCAAAATGTCATTTTAATTTGATGATTATCGTCTTGGACATATTGTGGAATTCAAAAAAAAAAACATACACTATCCAAACATGACCATTTAACACTATGCCTCCACCATGTAAACTCTGTGCTGTCCTCCCAAAACATCTACACATCTACAAATTACCAACCAACAACAGTTACCACCAAGGAGACCTGAGGTATGTTTCTATAACTTGTTTTCATTTCTCCATCTACTTGTTTACCTATTCTTGCTATCCTTAATGTATTCTTGAAAAACTTGTCACATCCGTTTTCCCTTTTTTTAAATATTTATGTTAATGTATTTGTATTTTGCTACACCTTGACGAGTCTATGGCATTGTTACCACCATCTTACTTACCATAATAACACCCACACAACACCTCTATTCCTAAGTAGATAGTATTAATATATGCGAAGGACAATCATAATATTTTTGCAAACATATTTTATCATGGATGTATTAGCCAAAGGTCATTGGAATGATAGCTTATGAAGGATTTAGCTTTATGTTAATTTATGTAGTTGACAGCTACTTCAGTGGAATACGATAAATAGAAAAGACAACGAAATCGATTGCAGAAAGGATCATAATAATCATTAAAAAAGACGTAGAGTAGGGTCTTCTTAGATTCCACAATGATGAGATATTCTTAGCCATATTCTTTACTGTAGCCATTTCAGAGCGTTGGATTCTTTGTTGTGAATTATTCCATTAATTTGCTCATTCATTGATCAACTAAAAAGCCCTCGTCAACAATGTGGGAAAATAGTTCATAATTTCGCAGCTTCATTGATAGTTATGTTGAAATAGACTGTAACTTAGCATAGCTTAATGAAAGAAATATGCTCTCCCTAAAACTGTTAACTCCTCTTCCTAGTGAAATAACCATCCCTGTTTTGGGCCGTTAGTGCGTGGGCTTTCTGTATTACTTCCGATATGGTCGACACATCGATTTACAACTGCTTTCGACTTCGTAAAGTATTTCGTATTTAATAGTACTATGACTTGTGGTGTGAACTTTGAAATGAAAACCTCTGATCAATTTAATCTTTGAAGGCAAAGGGAGTACCATGTTATTTATACCCTTAGCCATATGGCTCGAGAGGGTTTGATAAGGCCAAAACATGCCTCATAGAAATAACGGCTTTAGACCCTAGTCCTTTTTGGACCAAATCAGTTTCAGGACATTTGGAGTCGATCTAGCGAGGTCCGTCTGGCTGGCAGGTGCGCATGATAACTCTCGAAGGGAGTATCCGATCGAGTTCGGAGATGGGCAATATTGGTCCACTCTTTCTGGTACCTCGCCAAAAAAAAGTCGAAATTAAAAAAAAAAAATATTTTCTGCACTTTAAGAGAAAGTATAATCCGATTTTGATCCAACTTTGCGAATCCTAATATTTACATCAGTGCTAGGTCAGGTTCGAAAATGGACAATATCGGTCCACTCCATCCAGTACCTCCGCCACAAATAATTATAACTCTTATAAATTGTGATGTAAGTGTCCAATTGTCTTCAAATTACACACATAACAATATTTTTATTAACACGAGGTCTGGTGTGAAGTTGGAATATATCGATCCACTCTTTCTGGTACCTCCCCCACAAAGGGGTCAAAATTTTGAATATCCATGAAGCTCATAAGCGAATTTAACATCCGATTCCATTCAGACCTGGCTTATCTAAATATATCCATTAACACAAGATCTATTATAATGAATGTAGAGATCGGACCATTCCTCCTGTTACCTCCCCACAAATGGTCAAAGTTTTGAATAACAAAAATTAAAATATAAAATCCGAAATAAGAATCGGGTTCTCGTCATATTTCCCACAACACAATATTTTTATTAGCCCAAGGTATTATGTAAAGATCAGATATATCGGTTCACTCCTTCTGGTAACTCCCCCAAAAAGGGTCAAAATTTTTAATAACCATGAAGCTCATAAATCTCGAAATTAACACCCGTTTCCATTCAGATTTGGAAGATCTTAATATTTCCATCAACACAAGATCCGATCATAACTCCCAAAAAAAAAAATGTCCCAGATGGTGCTAGTCCATATATTACTCTGATTTGTAAATCTTTCGTTAACCTGCTAATGGTAATCGATTTGGCCATCAGATGTCGCTAAATAGCCATCAAACTTTCTGAAGAGGATTTTTGATATAAAAACATGGAGAGTTATAAAAACCGTTATTTTTCCGAACGATTTAACAGAAATAGAAATTCTAAATGTTTACGCGGATTCAATGTTATATTACAACCTGCATCCTGGACAGAACCCTCTTTGGTAGATATAAATATATTCACCCATTTGACTTCTTTGGCTATAGTCCCTTTCAAATACATTTTAATGCTACTTCGAAAATATATTTCACGCAAACATTCTGTGCAATTGTCTTTCACATATATTTACAATAAAGCCCAAACTCCTAGTCTAGTAATCGATCCGCCTAATCATATTTAAGTTCTATCATTTACCACTTGAATATTGTAACGTAAATCCATTAACATTTTACTTTCCTCCGTTCCTTCCTTCCTGTCGCCACATGACACATCCTACACATTTGCATTAGAACAGGTTTCAAGTTACAACCATACAAAAAATGCAATAAATCCCACTCTCAGTGGTGTATGCTGCAGGTGTCAATTGTGGCTACATATATGTTTTTCTATGTTCCTTTTACGAAACACTCTCTCTCCATTCACTTACTTTGTGTGGTATTAAGAACGCCCACCACCAACCATTTCGTGTGTGTTATATTTTCAAATACCACACAACTTTCTACCTACGTAGCAGTAGGCACACCATGTAATGGTAACTTCCGTAATGTAATTTAATCCAGAACTTTTCACGGAATAGTTTATAGATATATGTTTGCACGTGTATCACAAAACACCTACTGAGCAACATTTCATTCTGGGAACTTTTGTGCCCACAACGAAAAACACAAGAGCAAACGGTAAAAGTTCTCCGGTAACCCCAAGGAATGAATAATCCCCCACAAAAAAAACCCTTACACATGTTTCCATCGGACACTTTCAATATTGTTTCTTTTAGCATAACCTTCAGTAGTATTTTGCATGTTTTATTATTCACCTTTACATATGTATATATTTGTCGATACATGTTAATAGAGATGTGGATTTTTTATATTGACAAATGGTTTCTAAATGTATTTTTTGGACATTTTCAAATCGATTTTCGAGTCGTGTGGAATGTCTGAATTTTTAATCAATACTGAATTTTCTGTAGTGATTACAATTTTTCGCACAGATACAAATTCAACTTCTCTTCTAAATAATCAGACTTGCCACATACATAAATACATTTATAGGCACTGGCCGGTGTGATAAATTCAAAAATATATACCAATAGAACGAGTTTTTTTTGAAAAGATTCTGTAGAACATCTACGTCTCTTCAATGGCCTAAATTCAACATTGACAGTGTTTAAGGACAAGACCAAAAATCCCTTAATTTTTGAATTTTGACTTTTTATCTATTTTATGAACGAAAATTCCACCTTAAAATATTAGAATCGTTCCAAGAGTTCGTGTTAGGCCTTTTAAGTAATCAAAATGCAGGCTTTCAAGATCTTATATATTATTCAAGTTTTCCTTTTTTCGGAAAGAATAATAGGCAAATATCTACTTTCTACGTCAAAAAAAAATTTTCAAAATCTTTAATTTTGAAGTTTACAGAGGAGGATATTGCTAAAACTATTGCACAATGGACCCAAAGAATAATATGAAAATGGTTACACTTTACACCAAAAGGTCTTCAAAATCTTTTATTTTGAAGTTTTGCTAAAACTATTGCAACTACTGTGTCCAAAACTATTTCAACTTGTCCATAGATAAACCTTAAAAACCAACAGTGACTTCAATATCAAATTGCAGATCTTCAACTCCATCCCTTTTCAGCCAATACAACATTTAGTACGCATATGCAAAACAATCTACATCTCTCCATCCTGGAAACCAATAGTGTTCCAAAATGTAGTACCATACCAACGCCAAATATCAACAGAGATCTCAATATCAAATTTCGGGATTCCAGCTCTATCCTTTTACCCAATACCAAATTTAGTAGCATTTAGTACATTTCGTACAAATATAAAACTCATTTCCAAAACCAACTTCATACCTTAAACACAGACACCAAAGGTGACATCTATATCAAATTTCAAGATTTCATCTTCATCCAATACCAAATGTAGTATTATTTAGTACTTTTCGTACAATTCTTGGAACACACTTTCAAAAACCACCTCCATATCTCAATTTTAGATACCAACAGAGACCTCAATATCAGATTTCGGGATTCCAGCTCTATTTATTCACCTAATAGTGTACCACGTTGTATTTTTCGAACAATTGTAGAACGAATTTCCAAACACACCTCCATATCTCAATTCCAGATACCAACGGAGACCTCAATATCAAATTTGAGGATTTCACCCAATGCCAAATTTAGTACCATTTTGTACTTTTTGTACCAATATAGGACGCCTTTCCGCAAATTTAAGCCATATCTTCAACACAGATTTTAACAGGAATTTAAAATTCAGATTTTTATTTCTATCCCTTCAGCCAATAACAAATATAGTACAATTACATTTCGTACATATGTATGTTCAGGCTACACATGAATTGCGACCCCAATGCCAAATTTCTGATTTCAAGCACTATCAATAAAATTTTGTATTGGGTGAACAGAAAGCGCACTTGTTGTACACATTTTCCAAACCCACTCTTTATCACGAACCTCCTCACGAACAGGGACCCCAATACCAAATTTCAAAATTTCCAGCTTCATCCGTTCACCCCAAACCAAATTGAGTACCATCATTAAGTATAGTTCGTACACTTAGTACACATTTCCTAATGCACCTTCCAAACAATCAAACTTACTTTCCAACCTTGATTCTCATACCTAATTTCAAGTTTTTTTACCTCTATCATTTCGTATAATTCGAAATTATACAATCTTAGAACTTTTCGTAATCTTAAAGTTCGAATTTCCAAAATCCCTTCGGTACATCTATACTGCGCTCCATCAGCAACTCTCATTCCAAAATTCAGAATTCTAGTTCATTCGGTTGTCCAAGACAAAGTATTCCATTTTTAGTACATTTTAGTACTTTTTGTACGAATTTCCTACAACCCAGACTTATCTCAGTAAGTCAGTCAGTCAGTTATTTCACTACTCTTTCATATTTCAATATAAAAGTCTAGGTTTTCAAAAAATGTCTAAGTTTGCTCCATTCACACACCTAGCCTAACCATTGGTCTCATGTAGATAACTAAGCACCGACGTCTAACTATAAATAGTCATTAAAGAACAGATGTAAAACTCACTCCGAGACCGGAAAATAAGTTGTATAATACCTCTAGGAGGTATTTAAAATGAACTAAATTTTAGAGCCTGCATTCGAGGCTGAGTTTCTCCGAAATGTTAGGACGTTTGAAGAATAATAATAGTAGTGGAATATGTTAACCCTTTTATCATACTTTCTTTTTTTCGTATAATGCACATAGGTTGTAGTCGATGACCATTGGTCTTTTCTTTACATTCTATACTTATATGAAAAATATGGTACATGTTGTACAGCGACGTACCCAGGAGAATATTAACTTTTCTGGTGTCGCCTAATAGATGTTTGAGACAAATTGGAAGAAAAAAGGAAGATAACAAAAAATGGATAAGGTTAGCTGCGAAGCAAAGGCCTATGGTACATACTATGTTCAAGTATCTTGTCAGTGATGATGTACTTTTTGTCCATTTGAGTAAGCCAAAATTCCAAGATATACCAAAAGTTTTGAGAGATTTGTTTTTTTTTTGTTGTTGTTGCAAAATAGTTAGTTTATATGAAAATGCCAACACGGCTCTGATTTTTTTCTATATGGAGATACACTATTTTTCAAAACCTCTGGATACTACTTTAAATGTTTATATGAATGTTTCTTTGATATATTAATATTTATTTTAACCCTTGTAAATACTCCTCTCCCCTACCTTAACACATTTCGTATTTTCAAGATGTTTCTTCTTTACCTTACCTTGCATGAACTATTAATGTTCTCTGTATGTATGTGTGTGTGTCTTTCCAAATGAGCAAAAAATGGTTAATACAAATTTTAAATTTTCCAAATTTATTACTAATAAATTCAATTGCTTGCCGGAATTGAAAAAGAAAACTAAAATTCTTAATATCGTTGTTGTTTGAAATTGTTGCCTCTTAACCTCTTAACCAAAATAACCTTTTTAAAGTCAACATGTCTCACTTCTAATGAAACCATTTTAATATTTTTCTTACATTTAATGTAAATTCTGTATTTTTATTTTTTACGTGGCCTACAAATTGTTTGTGCAAAATAAAACATGAATTGGCGTTACCAAATATAAATAAAATTAAAACTACAAATCCAATCAACCAACCAACCAATCAACCACCCACCCAACAACCAACCAATCACAAATTATAATGAACAACACAACTACAACGTCCTTGTTCACCATCACTACAAACAACTGCAACAACAAACAATCAATCAATCAATTAATTGACAACATCATACAACAACATGGAAATACATGAAATGTGTTTGTGATGACCATCCACACTGTAACCACTCTGCCTCCCCACAACACAAACCCAAATTCCCTCCTTTTTCCCTGTAATTGTATTAAATCATCACCATCATTATCACCCACCACCCTCACCATTCACCAAACTTGTGCAACAACCACCCACCAATCGTCCACTAAATGTCCTTCATGAACCATGAACAAAAAATTGTAAAACAATTAGGATTTGGATATGATAGCAGCACAACTAAATGAATTGGGCGTCTCTCAACAGCCTCAACCGCAGACCGCATCGGCAGCCACATCTTCATTTGCCCAGCAATCAGCCCAACCTGAAGCACCACCACGTAATAATCGCCAATCGGGCGGACCACCATCAGGGTCGGGCAAGCCAGCAGCCCCGCTACCCACATCGGGCAATAATCATCATCATGTGGCAGTTTCAAATCCTCTGGATCCATTGGATAGCAGTGATTCGGATAGTGAACCAGATGAGCCCAATGATCGTGGTCGCAATGACGGTACTCTCTTGGCCAGTGATCCCCCAAAACCACTGTAAGTATTTTTTGGAAATTTGAAATAATTTAAAATATGAATGAATACTAAAATCTATATTTATTTTTAGTTACCAGGTGAAACGTTGAGATTTTATTATTACCGTTTTGAAAACAACGAACGGCTAAGCCAGCGACTTATTTGAGCTTTAAAGTATTCAATGGAACTCGCAATGAGTCAAATTTTCATTTTTGCTCTATTGAAACGTGAATGTAAAAATTTTCCAAAATTGTTTGCAAGAACCTAATTTCTCTTGTCTTAGGAAGCCATATTTTATTTCATGTTTTAAAGTTTCAATATTATTCTAATTTCACAAATGTATCCATTTGAATTGCCAGTTTTTGTAAAACAATTCATTTCACTCAAATCGTTCGTCTCCAATTTTTTTTTTTTAAATTTGATTTTTATAAAAAATTTGAAAAGGTCTACTTCAGAAAAACGAAAGAAACAATAGGAAGAGACCACCCTATCTTTTTGAACAGATATTGGAAGTTTTTTTTACAGAATCACATCAAAATTGTATGTGGAATTGTCATAGGATTTGGTTTGGGATATCAACACCCTATGGGAATATATTCATTAATTAAACCTTCAGCTACATGGCTAGAGAGGTGTATATCATTTGATACGGCCAAAACGTGTCTCATCGTATTAACGGTTTTAGACCCTAGGTCTCTTTGGGCCAAATCTAGCGATGTCCGTCCGTCTGTCTGGGTGCTGGCTGATGCGCATGACAACTCTCGAAGGGAGTATCCGATTTGATCCAAATTTGGTACATAGTAAAATTATTATCAAATTTAGATCGAGTACCTCCCCAAAAAATGTTGAAATATTTTCAAAGACATTACTGCACAGAAAGAGAATGGATAATCCGTTTTTACTCCAACTTTGCAAATCCTTATATCTGCATCTGTGCTAGGTCATGTGCGAAAAAATTACATACATCACAATATTTTTATTAACCCAAACTCCGGTGTGAAGATGGAACACATCGGTCCACTCCTTCTGGGACCTCCCCCACAAAGAGTCCACATTTTGAATATCCATTAAGCTTATAAAACGTGAAACTAACATCCGATCCCATTCAGATTTGGCACATCTCAATATTTCTATCAACGTGTTATAAAGATGGTATATATCGGTTCACTCCATCAAGTACCTCCCCCACAGAGGTTCAAAATTCTGAATAATCAAAACTATAATAAAATCCGAAATAAGTATCCGGTCCTCTTTATATTTCACACATCCCATTATTTCTACACAGTATCTGCTGTGAAAATGGGATATATCGGCGCACTTTTTCTGGTACATCCCCCACAAAGGGTCAAAATTTTGAATATCCACGGAGCTGATAAAACGCACAATTAAGATTCAGTTCAGACTTGACACATCTCAATATTTCCATCCGCACAAGATCCCTTTATAAAGATGGTAGAGATCGCATCATTTCTTCTGGTACCTCCCCAGAAAAGCGTCGAAGTTTTAAATAACAAAAATGATCATAAAATCCGAAATCAGCATTTCCGGCTCTTCAAATTTCACACATGACATTATTTTTATTAACACAAAATATGCTGTGTAAATGGGATATATCGGCGCACTATTCTGGTACTTCCCCCACAAAGGGTTTAAAATTTTGAAATTTTAAAAACTAGAAATAAGCATCCAACCCTCTTCAAATTTCACACATCCAAACATTTTTGCAAACGCAAAATCTGTTGTGAAGATGATAGATATCTGCCAACCCGTTCTGGTACTTCAACCACAAAGGGTCGCAATTTCCGATACTTATATCCGTCATAATTGCGAAACAAATCGGCGATCTAAACTTTCTATATCTAAATATTTTCCTTAGACAGAAATTTGATATGAATATGCAAATAATTGGCAAATATGATTTCGTATAAAATTGGATATAAATGTTCGATTTTCTTTAAATTTTGCACATACCAATTTTATTTTTATCTGTATTAGATGAAGTGGAATATTTCGGACCGCTATATCTGGTACGTCGCGCATATTTGCACATTTTCGAAAAAATTGCAGATATCTCATATAAAGTGTAGGAAGTAGACGATGTAGTCCGAATATGGTGGGTTGTAATATTTATATCAGAATTAGGTCAGATACGACAGTGTTGGTCAACTGCTGCGGGACCTCCCCATAAAGGGTCAACAGTTAGAATAATTATGACCCAAGACTGGGGGTATACATCTGTCGGCAAAACCGACTGATATATTCTAACTTCTTTTAATTTAATTTTACAATTTTTTTATTAATTTTTGAATTTATTGTATCTGTTTATGCAGCACAATTCCTAATCAGATGTAATCAAAAAGTTCACAAGATAATGGTTATGGAAATACTAATCTATGTAAGCCGTTCGAAAATGAGCGAAAGATTTCAAAATTCTTATTGAGCCCAAATTCGAAACGAAATGGTTAGAATACGAACGATTCGAATGAAAGAATTTTTATTTTTTGCAATAACAGACTGTAAATCGATTAACTTAATATTTAACAAAGTCCTACATGTATAATAATTAAGCTCAAACAAGCCGTACCTGCATTTATAAAATATCACATTCACATCTCAACGTTTCATCTGTAAATCGTATCGCATGGGGCAAATGTTCTTTAAACTATTTGCTAAGATTGTGATTCTTTCCTATGATTCTATATTAAATTTGTAATTGCATTTGTAACACCTCCAAATATTCGTCGAAGAATAAAATTTTAAAGCCGGTTATTACATCTTTTCGATAGAAAACAAATTATGTTGTCGGACAAATAAATCGTTTTTCGTTATTACAAGTTCTATTTAAATATGAACTGTCCGATAAGCAAAAAGTCTGACCATCTTTCCTTTATCTTTTAACATTGATTACTCATTTCACTGCCTTATCTCTGAAAAAATGCATTAATTTTAAAGGAAAAATATAAGCATGAAAATTCGATAGGGATAACAAAACTGGACTATAAAGGAAAGCTATAAGAACGGGTCTACGTCGATTAACCGACGCCCGTATATCTGTCCGTGTGCTAAAATCAAGATTCAGCCCATAATAGTTTGCATTTTGTCTGTGTCCATATTCTTTGGCGAAGATCTTTGGCATAATCTTTTGCATTGGATGTTTGGTATTGAAAAAAATGGTGTTTCGGTTCACATTTTCGTTTGGTCCCCATGTAAACGTACCTCCTGTTAGTCGAAATTGGATGATTTTAATGACTTTCTTCACGGAATTGTTTCAAATTTGGTATTTGGATTTTGAAAATGGATTCAGCATCCTGTGGCATAGCATTGTCTATATACGTCCAAAAAAAAAAAAAAAAAACAAAAAAAAAAAAAAAAAACGTCCACGTTCTCCTATAACCTATAGCCATATACCTACTGATATTCGGGATTTTGACGATTTTAGCGACATTATTCACCGATTTTTTTTTAAGTTTCGCATTTGAATGTTGCTATGGCTTATGACAAAAGTTACCAATGCGGTCATATAGACCCTAATATAACAGCTATATTCGGTATTTTTAAGATTTTAACAGAATTGTTAACGGATTTTATTGTTTTTGTGAATTGCCGAATTCATTCCAAATGGTGGAGGATATTCGAAGTACATTCATAATCAACATAAAATTCTAAGTCCGTCTGTCTGTTGAAATCTGAAATACAGCCCACATTATTTGACGTAGAGCGTCAAAATTTAGCAGAACAATTTGTATTGTGCTAAGGAAGGTTGGTATTGAAAATGAGATATATCGGTCCACGCTTTGGTATAGCCCCCATATATCAAGATATCCGGTATCTGGATTATTTTTGCCACATTTTTTTACGGATTTGTCTGAAAATTGGTATTTGTTGGTCATCACGGGTTCTAGCTCCGCTGGCGAAACATTGCATGTATAGGTCCACGTTTTAGTATAGCTCGCATATAACGGTAAATCCGATATTCGGTATTTTGATGATTTTTACATTTCTAAAATTTGTATTTGTGGGTCCTAATTGGTTCTAGCTCCGTTGGCGAAACATTGTATGTATAGGTCCACGTTTTTGTATAACCCAATATAGGGGTACCTCCCGATATTCGGTATTTTCATGACTTTTGCCACATTTACCCACGAATATGTCCAAAAAATGGTATTTGGGGGTCATAATGGGTTCTAATGTTTCCTTTACCCTTGGGTGGAGGGTATTAAAAGTTCGGTCCGGCCGAACTTAGAGTTTTTTTTCTTCTTGTTTTTAAATGGTTATTGGGGAAAACAATGAACTCTAATGTGGTAATCCTAGTTAAACCAATGCAGTTAAAAAGATTCCCTAAAAAGTTACAGATCCTCGATGTAAAATAATATCATTAAATGTTAAATATTTTAAACATTTAATAATATAAAAGCAATTTGCCCCCTGCGATCTCTCTGTTTAGATTTAGAAATACAAAAAAAAACTCACCTATTTTTCATATTAAAAAAAAAACAAATCATTTAAAAAAAAAACTCTAATCATAATTCATAACTCCTCTCTTCTCCTCTTGCTCTATTTTTTTTTCTCATTCTATATTCATTCGATGGTTTCTTCATTTTAAATATCATGCGTTTTTATTTTTTCATAATTTTCTTTTTCAAATATTCATACTTTACTTATGTTTTTCTTGTTCTTGTTGTTGTTGTGATTTTTTGTTATTTGTTTGTATATTATGATTTGGTTATAAAAACAAGTCCTGAATTTTCATATAGGCCTGGCCTGGTGCCAGTATCAGAGGATTCCTCATCAACGCCCATTACCCATGGCAGCGGTGGACCACCAAATCGCCCCTTACCTCCCACACCAGATGATGATGACCAAGCCGGCGATCGTACATTGATAATGAAAAGGGTAAGTGTGAGATTTTATTTGATATTTAGTAATTGAAATGGACTTTGATATCCAAGATAGCCAAATTTGGTTTCGAATATGTTAAATTTTGTAAACAAAGGAAAAAAGAAACAATTGTTTAGTTTTTTTATTATTTCGTATATGAAATTGGTGATTTTTTATTGTGAACTTTTTGTAGGTAGATTTTTTCCTTTTTTTCTTAAACCAAAAAAAATAATAATCTTTAACTTGTATGTATTGTTGTAGACTACGAGAAGGTGTGGTTATGTTGTCGCAAAACAACATTAAGACATGTATATTTTTCTAAATTTCTAATAATACAGAAAAGTTTTATAGCAAATATTGTATTTTTTTTTTTTTATTAAATTTTAACCAATTAATAAAAAACTGTTGATAGATTTGTTTAAAATTATCAATGCAACTAAATTTTCAACATAAAATTATAGAGGGTTCAGGGTTTTTTGTGAGCCAATTTCGTTTTATTTTTCCTGTATAAAATTATAAAATATCTATTATTATTATAATTACAAACAAACAACAATACTACTAGCGATATTAAATGGTTGCGGTTCTTTTATACACATAATTTTGTTGAAAATTCTTTTTTTTTTTTATATTCAATTCAAAGATATACGAACAAATAATACAGGGTATTCCAAAATGTTGTTTATTTCATTTTACCAATTGGAGTACTCTGTAAAAATATTAAATACACCTTTCCTTTTGTTTTGCAAATATTTTTCGTGAATTTTAATTTTTTTATAGAATTTTATATAGATTTATATTTCAAATTTTGTTTTTTTTTTAATTTTTTTTAAATATCATAACAATGCAAAAAAATGTACAAACAAAAAAATATTCTCTCTAAAATATCATATATCCTGCACTAAGTTTGCTATTAATTTACAAAAAGGCATTTTTTTTTTAATGCACATCATCTGTGAATATATACATACATATATATAAATATGGTCTTGTTGACTGGCACACCTATTTTGTTTTTCTTAACAACAACAGCAGCAGCAACAATGAGAATTTTTTTTTTTTAAAAACAAAATCCGAATGTTTGTGTGTTTGTGATATTTGTTTGTATGTATATTTTCTTATATAACAAAAAATCATTACAAACATAGATATTTAGCTTCATGTTCATATGCCAAACAACATTCAATTATAATTGCGGTTCAAAACATTAATCAAAAAAAAAAAAGTGAATGAAAATTCATGAAAAATTTGCAAAATATATTTAGTTAGGTCCATCATTCTACTATTACTCCTCCCATTTACTCTTAGATTCCAATGGAAAACGTCTCCTTTGTGATGTCATGATTTTCGAAGTGGATAATTGTTGCTATTGCATATAGATGAAATGAGAGATTTTAGAAAACACAAGTAGAAACATTATGTTCGGCCCGGCCAAACTTTTAATACCCTCCGCCATTGGGTAATGAAAACATTTTTTATATAAAAGTATCTGAATTCAAACGTATTCCTGCAAACGAATGCCTGCAGCGGACATAATAGCTTATTGGCCTCATCAATCGGTATATCAATCGGCTGGGATCCACCTCGAACTAATATATCAGCCACTTCATTCCCTACTTTATTGCTATGTCCTGGAACCCAACAACGTGTTTTAGCTTGACTATCAACGTATATAGTCACTAGTCTTGTTATGCTATTGCAGAGCTCCCTAAGTTCTCTTTCAGCTGCCTTCTTGATTTCAAACATATCCACCTGAAAAACCCCACAATTGTCATTAAGCGTATTATGAGTGTTCGATGATTGGGTTAGGGCTGAATACGTCAGCGCCGGTGCCTTCATCTAGCTTAGAGCCGTTTATATAAATGGACAATCCCTCCAGTGATGATTCACCACCCGGCCAGGCATCCCTGTCAGGTATAGTTAAATCAGTGTAATTGAATTCCAAAAAAGTCTATCACCTTCAACTAAGACAATCCGACTAATTGGTATGTTCAGGATTCGTACATGACCAAAACGTGAAAAGCACCATCTACCAGCTTTCCAGAGTCTTAGCACACTCCTTGTTGCTTGAAATTGAGCTAAAATATCCAGTGGCTGGAAATGTAGCAGCACATCCAAGGCAGATTGGAGAGTGCTATTGAGATCTCCGGTTGTCAGCAAGATTTACTTAGATGCCGGTTGATCTGGATGACAGGGATCATCATTACTTCGGTAGACGAGCTGCTGGGAAGTCTTAGCTTGAAGAATACATTATTGAGACATTGAATGTCACACCATAATCTTTGTCAGAAGGTCAAAGGAAGATCAAAACGTACGCAGGGGGGAATGTATGTCTTGCAGTAACACAGACGACAATGACTTTCACACATTTACAAAGGGTGGTACTGCATGTTTCCGAAATCCTTTTCTGCCGCAAAAACAGTATCGCACCCCAGATCTCTTTGGGCCAAATCCGTTTCAGGACATATTGAACTAGTCTAAATGTCCGTCTGGCTGGCTGATGCGCACGATAACTCTCGAAGAAAATATCCGATTTGTTCCAAACTTGGTACGTCGTAATATTATTGTCAAACATAGATCGAGTTCAGAGATGGACAATATAGGTTCACTCCTTCGGGAATCTCCCCCACAAAATATCAACATTTTCAAAGAAAATAATTTACTGCACAGGAAGCTAAAGGATAATCCGATTTTGCTCCAACTTTGCAAATCCTAATATTTGCATCAGTGCTAGGTCAGGTGCGAAAATGGATACAATCGGTATCTCCCCCCCCCCACAAAGGATCAACATTTTGACTACCCATGAATCTTATAAAACCTGAAATTAACGTCCGATTCCATTCAGACTTGGTAAATCTCAATATTTCCATCAACATAAGATCTTTTATAAAGATGGTAGAGATCGCACCATTTCTTATGTTACCTCATACGCAAGATCTGTTCCAAAAATGATATATATCTCCACGCTAAAGGGGTAAACGTTTTAAATAATCATAACTCAGGGCTGGGGGGTAAACATCTGTCGGCAAAACCAACAACTTGCAACAATTATCCCAATATTGAATCATGACTCCAAAAAAAGAGGAAACAAATTCTCATCAAAACCCAAATAGATATAAGAAAAACATATTTCCTACTTCCATCTCCATATTCTCAATTCTACGTATTGCAAAAACAAAACCTCAAACTCAAACACACAACTATATATAACAACAATTATTTCAAAACAAATTCCCCGACTCTAGAAATTCGAAAATCAAAATCGTTTACAAAAATCCGCTTCGACATCTTGTGCCAATCGTCCGAAAAATGAGTTGCGTGATGTTGCTCTCTTGCGGGAATGGGATATTGAGAAATTCTTTCCAAAACAAAGTGCCAGCAGTGGAGCAGGAGGAGGAGGAGGAGCGGTTGGCTCAAATGACAATTTATCAGCGGCTGTTACAACAGGTGTCTCCAGTAGTCTTTCACGGGTGCCAAGTAGTTCAAATAGTAGTACTCTAAAGGCCGATAGCAAACTACAACGATGCAGTATGGCTGAGGTGCCGAGCTCAAGACAAACGCCCAAAGGCTTCCAGCCAATAAAGACAGGTGCTCAACAAGCCCAGACCAAAGATCAAACTCGAGCCTCAATGATGTCAGTTTCCAGTAGAACTAAGGCGAGCTCAACTAATGGCTCAAATAATAATAGTAGTAATAATAATAACAACAACAACAAGTCTTCCCCAACATCATCGACGTCCTCGTCAGCGTCGCCAGCTAACACAAATGCCTTAAGAAGTGCCAATAACAATGCCACGCATAAACGGCAAGAGTCCGACTCAAAATTGCCACAAAACTTCATACGCGGATTCCGGCGCGAAAACTCGGATTTCTTCCCCTTAACCAAACGCCATTCAGCAGTGCTGGTCAACACAAATCTATTGCAGCAGCAACAACAACAATCATCGCCTTTTGGCTCAGCAGCCCAGAGAGCCAGTGCCATGATACCCCGAAACAACAGTATATTCAATAATAATAAAAATGATTTGAATAAGAGCGCCAAAGAGACGAATTCCGCCGCCAATAAGTCAACACAAAATGCCAATGCAAAAAGTTCGGGAAGTACCAGTGGTTCGACCACTGCCAATGCGCCCAATAAGACTAGCTGGACTAGTAATTTAGATTTCTTGCGTCCTCGTCGTGAAAAGACTGAATCGGTTATTGTTTTTCAAAACTCCGCGGCCAGGCAACAGCTTTTTGCCCAACAACTGGTACAACAGCAACAAAAACAACATCAGCAGCAGGTAAACAGCAACATTGCTTCTTTCTCTCACTCTCTCTCTCTCTATCTCTCCTTTTTACACACCTCACTGTCCTCACTAGTTAAGGCTCAAAAATGAAAGCTTACTAAAACCATAGAATTTTTTGCTGTCATTATCTAGCGCTATCTCTCTCTCACTTTGTCTGTATCTCATTCCTTCCACATTTTGGGATAATTTTCATTCCTAGTATAAATGTCCCTCCAATGTTTGGCCTTAACTTTCCCTCTAATGCTTAGCTTACCAACAAAAAATTGAACTAATATTGGAATCGTAAAGTTGTCGCTGTCGTCGTCTACCCATACCATCTGAACATGCTCTCTAGCCATCATCCAAAACTATCATCACAAAAACCGTTAAATTGAAATTTAGAAATAATACACCCTAATATTTAGCTGCTAAGAGTTTTGCTTTGAACAGAAATTAACACGGAGGTGTGTCCTTGTATTTATTCTTGTGGAACAGTGTAAAAAAAGTTTGAGGAAAGTCCTTTGATGGATAGAAGACCTTTATAAAGTACCATGGACGAAAGCTTTGCATATGGTCTTATGTTGACCGGACAGAAGACCTGTATATTATCTTCGAAAAACATAAATCTTTATAAGATCAAATTAATTCGGTTTTGTCATACCGTTATTATACTCTCAGATCTTTATGTGGTGAATACCTGCATGGGACCGCTGCACGAGACAAAAAATTGCAAAAGTCAGAACTCAGAAATTCTCGTTCGAAGTCGAGAGTGAAACCTTTTTAATCGGAGCGGGGGTACTCCTGTGTGAGTAAAAAAAACATTGGGGCCACAGAGAATACGAAAAAACGATTTTAGACCTTAGACTTTTAGACCTCTGTGTGAGGTCTACGAAAGACGGAATATCTGCAAAGGAATTAGCTATAAACCAAAAAACCTTCACGAAACAAAAAAAATTAAAATTCAGAGCTAAGAAATGCTCGTTCGAATTCGAATAGGGACTGAACTCTTCTCCAATTACAGCGGGAGTACTCTTGTATGAGTAAAAAAATAAGTATATTTTATTTTTCTATGCCACTCAAATAAGGGCGGTTATACTTTGCTCTTTTTCGAGTGGGAGTAAAATTCATTCGAAATCGAGCAGTATTCATTCGGTTTTGTCATATCGTTATTATATGCTCAACCCTGGAGCTACAGGACGAAATTCGTTTCAGAACATTTGGAGTCGATTCAGATGTGTCCATCTGACTGGTACGCACGCTAACTATCGAAAGGAGTATCCGATTTCATTCATCTTCTTCATCGATCGAGTTCGGAAATGGACAATATTCATCCACTTCTTTTTGTACCTCCCCCACAAAAGGTCAAAATTGTCTATTGATTCTCAAATAAGAACGAGTTAAAGCATACTCGTTCTCATTTTCGAGTACGGAAAGAAAAGTTCTTATTCTTAATTCTTATACCGCCTTATGGCTACAGAAGGCATATATCAATTGATACGGCCAAAATGTTCCTCATCAAAATAACGATTTTAGACCCTAGGTCTCTTTGGACGAAATTCAGGGCATTTGGAGTCTATCTAGCATTGCCCTTTTGTCTGATTGGTGCGCATGATAACTGTCGAAGGGAATATCCGATGTCGTCCAAAACTTAGTATACACTACTGTTATTATTTAACTTCGACCGAAGTAGAAGATGTGCAATATCAGTTCACCCCTTCTGGTACCTCCTCCACAGAAGTTCAAATTTTATACTCCAGCCTAATATATTTTATTTGATACGGCCAAATGTGTGCCTCATCGAACGGTAACGGTTCTAAGAACTTAGGTATCTTTGGACGATATCCGTTTCAGGGTATTTCGAGTCTATATTTTGGTGTTCGATCAAGATTTTCAAAGAAAATAGTTTGCTCATAGAAAGAAAAAGGATCATATAATTTTCTTTAAACTTTGTAAATCTTAATATTTGTATAAGCCTAGTGCGAAAATGAACAATATCGGTCAACTCCGTCTCTAAACGTCCCCACAAGGGCCTACATTTTTAAATAATCATTGCTCTGTGATAAAAAGAATTGCGAATTTCTTCAAACTTTGTATATCTTAATATTTTTGTCAACCATAGGCATAATGTGAATATGGGATATATCGGTACACTTCTTGTGGTACCTTCTCCACAAAGGGTAAATATTTTAACTAATTGTAACTCTCATTGAATGCGACAATATTCCCTAGAATTAGATTTAGTATAAATGGGATGGGATAAATATATCCAATCTTTAAAGCAGCAGCACTCGCGATCTCTCAGCCACTCTACTCTTCAAGAACCCCATCTAGTATTTTTCACTCGTGAGTAAAGTCGAGAAAATCTGAGCTCTGGTATTCTCTCTATAGATGACCTGGATATGGTCCATACAAGACCTTTTTATACAAAAGACTTGGAAAAGGTCTCCACGAAATATAGGATTTTTTTTCGCCTTGAGGAAAAGACTTTTATAAGATTTTCTTCAGGGCCTTCGATCACCAATAGATGGCAAAAGATATCTTCTTTGGTTCTGCAATTTACGCAAGGTCTATGCGATCCCTTACAAGAACTGTAAAAAAATCTCAACTCAATTGATTTACACTGTTTCCAGATACAATAATATAATCAAATAAACCGAAATAATAAAATATCTGATAGAATTTCTCGATGAATAACCATTTGATGCATTGTGTGTAAATTATTTTTAATTGCTTTCTTTACTAATAATACATTTAAATAATTAATTTTGTGTATTTATATATATATTTTTGTTTCTGTACTAATTTGACTAATTTTTGTAGAATTTTTTTCTATTGTTTTTTTTTTTTTTTGTAATCATTTGTAAATTTTGTTCATAACTCACTACTCACACATAAAAATGACAAAAAATCACCAATTATTTTGAAAACATTTTTCTTTTTGTTTTTTGGTTTTGAAGCACGTTACATACTATTTTATATGTTTTGTTATATTTTGTAAATAATTTTTGTCAGTTTTTTTATTTAAATATTTGTTTATTTAATATTTATGTAGAGGATTATTTAGCCCTTTTTTATTTTATTAAAGGCCTAATTCACAATCTCGATTGAAAACTTAAGGTAAAAATACATAGAACGTTTTTTTACTGGCTTAGGTCATCGGCTTATACACAAAGGGTATAAGTTCGGAATAACCAAAACTATTATAAAACCGAAATAAGCATCCAGTTCGCTTCATATTTCACAAATCCTATTATTTATAATAAAACAAGATCTGCTATGAAGAAGGTTTATACGGGCCACTCCTTCTGGTACCTCCCCCACAAAGGGTCAACATTTTGAATACCCATGAAGCTTATAAAACGCGAAATTAACATCCGATTCCATTCAGACTTGGAACATCTCAATATTTCCATCAACACAAGATCTGTTATAAAGATGCTAGAGATCGGACCATTTCTTCTGGTACCACCTCCACAAAGGACCAAACTTTGATTAACTAAAACAATTATAAAATCCGAAATAAGCATATGTTTCTCTGCAAATGTCACATAACCAAAACTATTATAAAATCCGAAATAAGCATCCGTTTCTCTTCAAATGTAAAATATACCATTATTTCTATCCACACAAGATCAGATGTGAAGATGGGATATATCGGTACCTCCCCCTCAAAGGATCAATATTTTGAATTACCATGAAGCTTATAAAACGCGAAATTAGCAATCCAATTCCATTCAGACTAAGTACAGCTCAATATTTTCATCAACACAAGATCTGTTATAAAGATGTTAGAAATGTTACAATTTCTTCTTCTACCTCCCCAACAAAGGGTCAAATTTCGGAATAACCAGAACTATTAAAAGGTCCGGAATAAGCATCCAGTTCTCTTCATATTTCACACATCCTATTACTTTTACTAAAAAAAGATCTGCTGTGAAGATGGGATATATCGGGTCACTCCTTCTGTTACCTTCCCCACAAATGTTGACCCCATTTTGAGTTACCATGAAGCTCATAAAACGCGAAATTAGCAATACAATTCCATTCAGACTTGGCAGATCTCAATCTTTCCATCAACACAAGATCTGTTAGAAAGATAGTAGAGATCGGACTATTTCTTCTGATAATTTTTAACTTGTTTCTTTTACAAAGAAGCTAACCGATAATTTATGCCAGTAAAAATAGCTGTTTAGGCAGCTGCACCTTTAGGTCCTGTATCCGTGTGCCGATACGAAAAGGAATTCGAAAGAAAAATACCATTCTAAATAAATGTATATATTTTTTGATTTTATTGAGTTCAATTCAAATTTTGAAAAACCTATTTGGATTGATGTTTTTTCTTTCGCATTCATCATACATGTTTGATTTGATTTTATTCGATTTTGTGATTCAGGTCCTTTTGACTTTTTGTGTCTCTGTATTATAAGGTGCCCCTGGGAGCATGTTTTGATTTTTTTTGTTCTTTTTCATTATTCCCTTTGTTCCTGTTTTATTTAATTTTGATTTGTAAAAGAACCTCTACCATAATGGTATAACCAACCTAGAGGGGCAGACCCGTCCATCCCCTATGTATGATGCTATAAAGATGTCGTATAGCTAACAAAAAATGCACCATTTTAAGGCTAACAAATTTTTTACAACTAATTTTTTATGTTTCAAAAAAAAGTATTTAAAAAAGTATTTAAATTCTAATTAAGTTAACTACTAGTAATGAATATGGATGCTAATGAGATTTTTGTAGTATACCGAAATTGTAAAACTATAAATTAGGTGAATATCTATGAAATGGTAGAATGAAAATATCTCTCAATGGTGCAAAACATTTATTTTTTAAAAATATTTAAATTAAATTTTAAGGTTTCTCTTGTTTTACATATTAGTTTTTTATCTAATCTTTAAACAGTTCTCAAAATTTTTTGTCATTTCTATTCATTTCTAAGGGAATAAGGAATTTTTTTTTCTCATTTTCTAAATACATTGTCATCTGCGCCAATGCTAAGCTCATTTGCAAAATT